TGCTCACCGCAGTACAGGATGATTTGAGGGCCCGCCGATCGACCCAGAAGTGGATGCTCGTTTGTTCGGCGCAGAGGGAGCTGCTGCTGCTGTGCCCGTCTTCGGTGTTGCTGCTGTTGCCGCTGTGGCTGCTGCTGCTGCCGCTGTTGTTGTGCATGCGTATCTTCCCCAGCATGGTGGCGACTTCGTGCAAGCTCGGAGCGGAGAAGGGCCCGCAGCAGCATGCGGTCTTCTTGTTGCTGCCGCTGCTGCTGGTCCTGCTCTACTCCCTGCTTCTGCTGCTGTGCCTCCTCGATGGTGGCTGCAAGCGCTGCAGGGCCTATAATAGAGGTGAGGGGTTCCTCTGTCTCTGGAAGCGTCACGTGAGCTTCCTGAGGGGCAACCTGCAGCAGGGGCCAGAAGACAGCAGCAGGCAGTGATACAGCAGCACTTTCCAAGAAGTGCAGCCGTTGCTGCTGTTCCTGCTGCTGCATGCGCTGCAGAACGGCGCGAGCTGTCTCTGCAGCCTTCCGGAAAGATGCAGCAAAAACAAGGCGGCGGACAGTCTCTCGTGCTGCTGCAGCAAAGGCATCAGGACATGCATAGAGCCGTCGCAACTGCAGCAACGCCGCATTGACGCGCTGCGCTTTGCCGCTGCAGGCCAGGCCCTGCTCGTGGTACTGCCGCAGCCGTAGCCGACCTCTTAAACAAGTGCACAAGAGCTGCAGCTGCTGGCGGCAGTGCTTTGTCCATGCCTGCCGTTGTTCCTTCGTAAGGGCCCTCTGCTGCTGCTCGAGCTGCTGCAGCTCCTCCATTGCTGCTTCCTGTTCAGCAGCAAGAGCACGCAGCTGCTGCGGAGCAAAGCGAGAGTACGCGATGGGCGGCGCTGGAGCCGCAGTAGCAACTGCAGCAAAGGCTCGTGTATGCACAGCTGTCAGTTCCTGCTGCTCGTCTAGCAGCGCTGAGAGGGCTTCTCGCGTCTCCGCTGCTGCAGAAAGCAGCTCATCTGCAGCAGACCTAAATGCAGACGCAGCGGAACGCATGTCCTGCTGCAGCAGCTCAACTTCTTGCAACACTGCGGCGCGATCTGCAAACACGGACGCTGCGTACGACCGGATGGCTGGGACGTTGAGGAGAGAGGCAGCCGAAGGTCCCGGTATTGCTGAATCACCAGCTGCTTCTGCTGCTGTTGCTGTTACACACTTTGCTCCTGTTGCAGCTGAGTCTGGCATCGCTGGAGTTGCTGTTGCCACTGTTGCAGCGGTTGTGCTGCTCGCGTCAAAATGAGTTGTATCGGGATGAGGGCCTGGCTGTGGTGTCTCGAAGGGAAGGAGTTGGTATGTATCCCCTGCAACAGGAGCTTTAAAAGGGTTTGCGCTTCTATGACTGTTTTGCTGCTGCGCTGCTGCAGCTGCAGTCCCTGATGTTGCCCTGCTGGAGTTGCTGGGGTCTCCCTTACTATATGCACCTGCAGCGGGAACTGCAGTTGCAAGCGCTGAACCCACGGAGCCACAGAGGTGTTGAACTGCAGTACCCAGGGGGTTCTCCGTAGCTGTTATGGCGGCAGCTGTAGGGGAGTCTGCCTCGTTTGAACCGGCTGCGGGCCCTTTTCCCCGTTGTTGCTGCTTAACTGACCCTACCGAACCCAGCGTGCGGGGCCCGAGTTTTATGCAAGACGGGGAGTTGACGGGGTCTTGCTCACCCGGGGGAGAGGCGAAACCTTCCGCTGCCGCTCTTCCAGCTTCTGCTGCTGTTGGCGTTGGCCTTGCTAATGCTGCTGCTCCTGTAGGTACGAGGGAGCCACACGGCGCATCTGATGCCGCTGAAAACAGCTGCCCAGCATCACTTCCGTGGGGGAGACTGGATGGGGACTCAACTGCCTCTGCGAAAACCTCTCTACCCGAGTCCTGACAACTAGGACTGCGTTCCCACTGAACTGACCCTGTCAGGAGTGCTTCTGCTGCTCCTGCTACTTTTGCTGCTGTTGCTGCTGCGGCTGCTACTGCCGTCGTTGGAGCACCTCCCCCTGATGTAGCTGCTTCTTGCGGCCCTTCTGATGTTGAAGCCGAGCCAGCAGCGGTAGCAATAGAAATAGCAGCAGGAACGGCAGCAGAAACAGAGTCATCGGTTCGTGTGTGCACACGTTGTGCGACTGTGTGACTGCTCAGCTCAGTCTGAGGGGCAGCAGGGATGGCATTTGTCGGTTGTTTCTGCTGCCGCTGCACAGGA